TTTAACCCTTACCTTTTTGGTAATCATGTTTTTGCATAAAGAATCTACTAAATTGGATATAAACTTGGTCATATAAACCTGAATTTAATTTTGGTGTGTTTAAATACACTTTTTTAGAATTCTGTTGTAAACATTTTCCAATTAAACATAATAAAGACATTTCGACAATTTGAGGTTATGTTCATGCTTGTTATGAAAGAAAAGTCAAATTTTATTTTTCACATCGGAGAGAAATGAGAAACGTTAAATGAAATTAAAATAAATGTAGAAAACAATAAAGCAAAAATAGTTATACAAAAATATTCAACTATGTTATAAATATTTATGAGATTAAAATATATTATTTTTGACAGAATGTCGAACTAGTTTGAGGTTATAAAATTTTACACGTGCTGTCAAACATAATAAATTTAAACATAGATAAAAGAAGAATTTAAATGTGTCACATATTCTTGATTTAATACAAAAATGTTATATATATTTTACCATTTATATAATATATTGCTTATCATTATATAAAAAATATTTGTGAAGTTATTACATATTTATTTTTAACAAAACAGTGTTTGAATAAGTTTGAGGTTATAATATTTCACACGTGCCAAACAGTGTCAAACATAATTAATTTAAAAAATAGATCGCATAAGATCGTAATAAAGCATTACTATAGATATATCTATTACCATGGGGGACGATATACTGAAAGACAGTCGTTTTGCACATTTATTGAACGATCCAAGATACAAACATGTCCCCAAATCCGAAAGAAAAGTTAAAATTGACAAAAGATTCCAGTCTATGTTCAAAGATAAAAAATTCAAAGTTCCTACACTATTGATAAAAGGGGCAGACCAATTAGTAAAACTTCTAGTGAAGATTTGAAGAAATACTATGATTTGACATCGTCTTCTGAAGATGAGGACGATGAAGAAGAAACATCTGACCCAGGTACAGGATGATAATAAACTTTTTACTACTTTTGATATTATATAAATTACTTATTGTTGTTAATATGATTGTTATGATATTTTTCTAATTATTCTGTTTTTTTTTTATAGAAGAGAATCAACAGACCGGTAGTTTTGTTCGAGCTCCCAAATCCGATGATGATGATAGTGATGAGGAAGAAAGTGCTGATGATGATACAACAGATGCAAACAATGTAAATGATGAATTGGAAAGAGGAGATATAGGCAAAAAAATTAAAAAGCGTTTAAAAGATCTCACTGTAGATTATGCAAGAGGAGAAGGTAAGACAGTTTTATTATTATTGCTGTTTACACAATTGATTGCATATTTGCAAGATATTTTTCCAAGTAAAGTAGTGCCCAAATTTATGATATTTTTGATGAGACCATCAATATAATAACTAAACAAAGAATTGTAGTGTTTGAATTTTATATTTTTTGCAAACGCAGATTGAGTGGTAGATAGATTAACATTTTTTTTTGGATGGTTCACAACATTCTTAGATTTTTTACATTTTTAGATAGTTTAGAGGATTTTTACATAATTTAAAATGTTTTTAGATAATTCACAACATTTTTAGATAATTTTCAACATTTGCAGACCACTCACAAACTATTTCAGACAGTTTACAACGTTCTCTGATTGTTTACAACATTTTGAGACAGTTTAAACATTTTTTAAACAGTTTTAGACAATTTACAACATTTTTAAATATTTTCAATCAGTTTACTGCAATTTTAGATATTTTCAGAACAATTTTTTTGTTCAATTTACAACATTTCTAGTCTATTTTAAACATTTATACACTATTTGCAACATTTTTAAACATTTTCAAACAGTTTACAACAATTTTAGACATTTTCAGACAACTAACAACATTTTTGTTCAATTTACATCATTCCTATATAATTTATAACATTTCTGGACTATTTTTAGTGAATTTACAATAAATTTATGCAATTTACAACACTTCTAGACAATTTACAATATTTCTAGACAATTTACAACATTTGTAGTCTATTACAACATTTTTAAACAGTTTGAACCTTTTCAAACCGTTCTATTGTACACTGATTTACAGATAATTTTATGGGCTTTCCAACCATATATAATAATGTATGTGTATTCAAACAAAAATATAACGAGATAACACAAAACCTATAAATGTTACAAGAAATATGAGCAAATTATTCGATTTCAATTTGTTTATATTTAATAATTTTTTCAAATATGATTTATTTATAAATTTTATTACCTGTTATATACAAGTTTACAGATAATTTTATGGGCTTTCTACTGATATATAACAATATATATGTATTTGAACAAATTTTTAATGAAATTTTGAAAAATACAAAAAAGTACACATCAAGGCGTCCAAGAACATCATCCAAGACAATTTATTATGTAAAAGCATTTTTTTAAATATTCTGTTCTAAACTATATCAAGTGTTATATAATACATTATAGATAATTTATTGGCTTATTTTATAGATATTTATTTTTATCGATATATAATAATACATATGTGTTTAAATAAAATTTTAACGTTTTATGCATAATAAGGCTCTTAGATTTTTTGGAATCCATTCAAATACATCCAAAAATATTTGCAGATTCGAAAAGCTAAATACAAATGAACTTTAATACTAAAATACCGAACAAACAAGAATTATATATATTCCTGTATTCAATAACGTGTTAATTAATATAATATTTATTATCCGAATATATATATATATATATATATATATATATATATATTTTAATTTTTAGTTTACAACAGTTTTTACAACTTACAACGTTTTTGGGAAATTTACAACGTTTTTGGGAAATTTACAACACTTCCAAGCAACTAACACTTTCAGACGTCTCACAACACTTCCAGGCGTCTCAATACACTTCCAGACATCTCAAAACTTTTCCAGACAATTTACAACTTTTTTAGACAACTTGCAACACTTCCAGACAACTTACAATACTTCCAGACAACTTACAATACTTCCAGACAACTTTCAACACTTCCAGACTTTTTTTTTAACTATTTTACCTGACCTTACTTTTTATTTTAGCTGACATTGCATCAGAAAGTTCTTCCGATGAAGAATCATCAAGCGAAGATGAAGAGGAATTAATTTTAGAACATTGCTGGGGCGAATTGGACAGAGATGCTGAACGAACCGAAGAATCAACTTGTCGTTTAGCAGCATGTAATATGGACTGGGATCGAATGAGGGCTGTTGATATAATGGTACTTTGTAACTCATTTTTACCAAAGGGTGGACTTATTCACAGCGTCACAGTAAGTCACTAAATAATAAATAATAAATGATAAATAGAATGTATATTTTATGTATTTTGTTTTCCAGATTTATCCTTCAGAATTTGGTAAACAACGAATGGCAGAGGAGGATGTAAAAGGCCCAGTAGAACTTACATCCACTCCTGCTGAATATAATTCTGAAGAAGAGAACGATGATAACGAAGAAGGATCCAAGTTTCACATGGAAAAATTGAGGCAATATCAGTTGAATCGTTTGAAGTATTATTATGCTGTAATAGTTTTTGATAGCAAGGACACTGCTGAGAAACTTTATAACGAATGTGATGGACTTGAGTACGAGAGCAGTGCCACCAAATTGGATTTGAGGTTTATACCTGATGATGTTACATTTGACGAGGTAATACTTATATAATAATAATATACATTTATATATATATATATATATATATATATACACCTAAGTCTGTTTTTACACGGTAGATTGGTTCCAGAAGAAGCCGTGTAAAAAAAAGAACGTGTAAAAAAAGACATTGATCTTATACAAAAATGGGTAACTAAATAACATAAAATATTTAACAAAATTAAAAAACATAAATAAGTACAATAAATAAATACAAAATATTTTTTGGCGTACCTTTTATCTTAATGCGTTAAAATTAAATTTAATCGAAAATCAAATTTGCCTGCAAAAAATTTCTTTACCAAACATGTCTTATTGCATTGACAGTTCACAAAATATTAATACGTTTCAATTGCTCTGACCAGTAAATTTTATTGTATGCACATAAAGGGAATTCCCCTAAATTAGTGTTATTCACATTTGCTTTGACTGGTAAAAATTGTTTGTACGCGCTAAAGGGGAATTCACTTAAATCTTTAAGCTAGTGTTCGCAAACTTTCGATACTATCGATGGTTTCAGACTTTTTTCTTTCATAAATACTTTTTTGTGATATGAACATACTTCGCAAGAATTAAATTTGACAAAAAAAATTTAAGTACATAAAATTTCAAGTCGTGCTAAATGGAATAAAATCGTGTAAAAAAATTTAAAATATCCAATTTTCAAACCGTGTTATATCAAAACCGTGTACAAAAAGACCGTGTAAAAACAGACTTAGGTGTATATATATATACATGCATTAGGGTGGTCCTTAATATGGATGTTTTCAAATCTTTTTGCTTCCAAGGGCTCAAAAGCTTCTAAATTAATAAAAAATAATTTTCTGAAAGTTTTAGCTCTTAATATTACTTTAAGACAGTCTGCACTTAAAAAGAAATTAAAAAAAAATAATATTTTCGATTTTTTACGATTACAATAACTTATTCTACGGAGAAGTTAATAAAATTTTTAACTCAACTATAAAATAAGAATTATCTAATTAAATCATCCATTTAACATTAGCAAATTATATATGAAAATGTTCTTTTTAATGGGCTTCATTTAGTTTAGAAGACAAATTTATATAAATAAATAAATACAAGAATAATAAAATTATTTAGGTGTAAATGACATTATTAATCACTCAGAATTGAGATTTAAACACTTTTAAAGTTGTTGCTATATAATTTTGAGATTTTGGCACTTTTACTATCGTAAATTTTGGTGGCATTTTGACCATTTTTTAATTTTACGAAGGCCTATAATATTATGATGTTTTTTAAGATCATGAACTATTTCATTACACAAAGCCACATTAAAAATGCAAAAAATAAACATTGCGAAGAATAATTTACTAAAAAGAAACGGCTTGGCCTGAAAAAACTGAAAATTGAACCAGTGGTGTATGGCATCCTGCCTTAAGGCAATTTGCTGGAACTTCCCGTACCGTAATGAAATATTCGAGAAATTTTAAACAGCAGAAAGTTTAAAATCATCCAAATTTTGGAAGCTTAGTTTACTCAAAAACTGCCATTTTTGCACATTTAGCTCTGTATCTTTGAAATGGCGGGACCTGTCTTTGCCAAAAACTAATCACCTCTTCTCCCAATCATTACAAATTGAATATTTTTTAGATCATTTAAATCCGATACTCTGTTCTCTCAAAAACTCGATTTGTATTTTCTGCATTCTTTGCTCCGTATCTCCTTAACGGCTCGACCTGCCTTTGCCAAAAACTAATCAGCACATCTCCCTATCAATAGGGATCGAATGTTTTTTAATCCATTAAAATCGGTTGATCCGTGCGCCCGAAAAAATGCGAACATACAAAACACACACACACACACACCCATTAGTTTTCTGAGGTTTGCCAAAATGTTCAGAAACCTTCAAAACGTCGAGAAATGCAAAAATTTTCATTTTCGATTTTCGGCCCATTACAATAACTACCCTACGGGAAGTTAAAAAATTGATTCATATAAAAAACTGATTTTTTGTGTATCTTCAAATAGCATTTGTTATTTTGAAACCAAACTCTAGCACTAGAAAAAAATATGGTCACCTTGGATTTTATCAATTTTGATGTCAAACAATTATTCAGAATGACTTGAAACGTCCGAAAAACATTTGTTAACAAATCTGATTTTCTAGCATAATGTAAAAATTCATTCCAGAAACCGCACGATGTATGTACGGAACTCCCAGACTTAACAAAATATCAACCCAGACAATTTACAACGACTGCCTTGCAACAAGCCAAAGTCGAACTGACTTGGGATGAAACTTGCCCTCAAAGAAAGGAACTTACAAAAAAATTAATGTCTGGTAAAGTCGACGATGTGGCTGATGCAGATTTAAAAGACTACTTGGCATCTAGCAGCGAGGAAGATGATAATGATGATGATAAAAATAATGGCAATGGTGAAGATGATGATTTATCAGATGATTCGAATGCAAATGGTAAGTCGTCTTTGGATAAGTATAAAGCTTTGTTGCAAGATATTCAGAAAAAGGAAGAAGCTAAGAAAAATAAGGATGTCGAGATGGAGATTTCTTGGGGTCTTGGTCTAAAAGATAAGTCTGAGAAGTTGGTTAAAGACAAGTTGAGTAAAAAGGAAGACATGACGCCTTTCGAGAAAATGGTTGATAAAATTAAGGAGAAGAAAAAGGCTAAACGTGAAGAACGTAAAAAGAAACTGGAACAAGAAGAAAATACTGATACCGATAGTTCTGATGATATCCCTGATGGTATTGATATGAACGATCCATATTTCCAGGAAGAGTTCCAAAATTCAGACTTCCAAAAGAATAAGTCTAAGTCTAAGTCTAAGTCAAAGAAACCAGCTGATGACTCTGATGATGACGATAAGCAGAAAAAGGAGCTTGAGCTTCTCCTAATGGACGAAGACGACCAAGAAAAATCCCACTTCAGCCTCAAAAAAATCCAAGACGCCGAAAACGACACAAAATCCAAATCAAAACGTCGCAAAAAACTACTAAAACGCAAAGCAGATGAATCCATTAACATCCCAGATTTTGAAGTCGATGTCAACGATGAAAGATTTTCTGCCCTATACACCTCCCATCTTTTTAATATCGATCCTACGGATTCTCATTACAGGAAAACTAAAGGCATGGAAAGTTTGATCAATGCAAAATTGTCCAAACGATCTTTGAATGATAACCAGGAACCACCAGCAAGTAATGGTACACCGAGTAAGAAATCTAAAACTAATGTTGCTATGAATATGATGGTTAAGAATATTAAAAGGAATACCCAAAAGATTGCGAATAAATGATTTGTTCAAATTGAATGAGTATTTTTTGATATATAATTTTAAGTGGAGCTGCTAGAAGTTGAAGTAAATCTAACTCGTTTTGTGGATGTAAAATAGAATGGATTCGAAATTGATAGGATGGATTATGGTAACTTCTTTTTTTTTTCAATCTTTTTTTTGCAAAGTCTACTTCAATGATAGATAGTTCCAGTTAGATTTACATTTTTTTTCAGATTGTTTATAATATTTTCTAACGAATTATATAGATAAATTACAAAGTAATTATTATATAGATAAATTACAAAGTTTTAAAACAATTTTCAACATTTTCAGACCATGTATAAAATTTGCCGACAATTTACAACCTTTCCAGATTATTTTTAAAGTTTTCAGACCATCAACGATATTTTCAGATCATTTACATGATTGTTAGACGAATTGCAACATTTTCAGGCAACTTGAAATACTCTCAGATAACTTACAAACTTTTCAAATGATGCAACACATTTTTAGACAATTATAAACATTTTTAGACATTTTACAAAATTTTCAGACAACTTACAACATTTTTAGACAACTTACAATGTTTTCAGACCACTTATAACATTTTTAGATAATTTACAACATTTTCAGCCAACTATAAACATTTTTAGACATCTTCAAATATTTTCAGACAATTTACATTATTTCCAGACGACTTGCAACATTTTCAGACAATTTACAACATTTTGAGACAATTTACAACATTCTTAGACAAATTAAAATGTTTTCAGACATTTTACAACATTTTCAGACAACTTACATTATTTTCAGATATTTTACAATATTTTTAGACAATTTACATTAATTTCAGGCAACTTTTAATACATTTTTCCACAATTTATAACACGTTCAGGCATTTTCAAAAATCTTCAAAGAAGCTATAAAATTTTAAGCTATTTATAACATTTTCAGACCACTTTTAAGATTTGTAAATAATTTACAACATTTTGAGACAAACTTAAACATTTTCAGACTATTATAAACATTTTTAGACAACTTATAATATTTTCAACAATTTTGTAACATTTTCTGAAAAATTACAACATTTCCAGAATATTTATAAAATTTTCAGACAATTTGCAGCATTACCAGATATTTTACAAAAATTTTAGGCGGTTTAACATATTTTTAAACAATTTGCAACATTTTCACACAACTTACGACATTTTCAAATAATTTACAATATTGTTAGACAACTTACCAAATTTTCAGACAAAAACATTTTCGGGCAACTTGCAAGGTTTTCGGGCAATAGACAACAATTTCAGACAATTGACAATATTTTCAGATAAATTACAACATTTCCAAACAATTTATATCATTTTCAGTTGAATTACCACATTTCCAGAATATTCATAAGACTTTCAGACAATCTACTGCATTTTCAGAAATTTTACAAAATTTTTAGACGATTCAACATATTTTAAGACAATTTGCAACATTTTCACACAATTTATAACATTTTCAGATATCTTACAACATTTTTAGACAATTATAAACATTTTTAGACTACTTGCAATATTTTAAGACATCTTACAACATTTTCAGATCATTTACAACATTTTCAGGCATCTTAATACGTTTTCAGACAGTTTTCAATATTTTCAGACGAGTTGCAACATTTTCAAACAATATACAAAAATTTTAGCTTTCTTTTTTCTCTAATATTTTCAGACAAATAACAACATTTTCATGCAACTTAAAAATTTACAAAACAGACAATTTACAAAATTTTCACCCTGCAACATTTTCAGAAAAAATTACAATTTCAAAACAAACTGCAACGTTTTCAGATTAATTGAAATATTTTCAAACCTAAAACATTCTTAGACAACTAGAAAAAAAATTAAACGCAGGTATTTTCAAACAACTTGCAATATTTTCACACAACTAAAAACATTTTCACACTATCATTTTTGTATAACTTAAAACATTTATAACATTTTTAGACAATTTACAACAAAAAATTTAAGGCGGTTTGAAACATTTTTCAACAATTTATAGACTTAAAACTCTTTTAGATAATTTAAAACATTTTCAAACAACTTAGATGATTTTTATACAACTTTTACATTAAAAGATGCATTAGAAGTTTAAAAGAAATTGGGAATTATAAAATTATTTTACCTATATAAATTAATCAATCAGTTTATTCAAATGAAACAAATTCTTTTCTATAATGTGGTATATTTTGTACAATATATAATTTCAAACTCATTACAGAGCCGGTTGTTTTACACATACTCGAATGACTAAATAAATCATTTCTACAATCACTACAAAACAAAAAAAACTGGGATTAATTCAGCATACATCCGCCTCCTTATAAAATTCTTGTCAAGTCAATAAATTAATTCATATGAGATTTGTTTGGTTGTAAGTGATACTTGTTTTTTTAAAAAAAACTAAGAAAAAATTCCGCTTGGGTGATGAAGAAGTACATATTTCACTTTATTTCACATTGAGACAGTTATATATTCAATATGCCTTATCACGACAAACATAAAAGTTGGCACAAACGACACACTTTTTATGCTAACATCTGTCCAAATGAATTTTAAATGTGGTTAAATTATTTACAAAGATTTCATGATGATGTGATACAACAGTTGTGATACAAAATGTTTATTTTATTATTAACTAATTAAAGAATTCATGAGACTCATCTCAGCCACAATTTTAATCTTAATGCGTCCACACCATTGAGGTAGTAACGGAATAATCTTTTGTCTCTGACAAAACCTAAATTTTCGTACAGTCTCAGTGCTGGCTGATTTGTGATTTCGGTTTCTAAAACAACTTCATCAGCCTTATCGTTCACCATGCCCTGAAATAAAAGGGTAATAGATTTATGGAATAATTATAATTTAATGTGCCCCTTGAGATAAAAAACAGGGATATAAGATTTTAAAGATTAATTATAATTTAATGTGTCTCTTACTTGAAATAAAAGACAAGGGTAATATATTTATAGATTATTTATATTTTGATGTGTCCCTTGAAATAAAAGACAAGGGTAATATGTTCATAGGTTAATTATAATGATCAGATTTATTTTATTACTGTGTCCCTTACTTGTATTGCAAGCCGCACAAGCTTAGATCCAATTTTTTGTTTCCTGTATTTTTCATCTACAGCCAACATCGCTATGTACCCCCTTTTGGTCAATTTTCTATGATAATCTAATTTACATACTATAGCTCCTACACATAAATCATTGTGCATCGCCAAGAAACATAATTTGGGCCAATTGTGAATAAAATATCTATATGTGTATATCGAATAAGGCTCCGATAAGTCTTTTTGTATGAGTCTCATGATATCAGGCATTTGCAATTCGGATTCGTAGGCTACATATTTTATTTGAACTGGTTTGTCTGTCGCTTCATCCTTGGAGTCTTTCTTCAAATCTAGTTTGTCCAGACCATTCAAACTACCATTCAGGGCTGGTGATACATTCAGCCTGACTTCGAAATCTGTTTCCAGATTAGAAATTGTGTCATCTTTTAAAATATTATTATTACCACATGATGCTTTATCCTCTTTGAGCAATCCGCTGTCATCGGAGGTGATCAATTCGCGCTGCACGCTCAGATCCATTCTTAATTTATTTACAAAATAATTTGACTAATTAAATATTTAAAACTAGTCACAATAAATAGAACAACGGTCATGTCATGTTCGATATTATAAATTATTGCTCAGTTTAATTATTCTTGGTAATGATTACTTTTGACGCGGACATCTTGAATTTGCCATTTTGACAGTTCCAAATCGCGAAGGTTATTTTTAATACAATATTTATATATATTATGAAACACTAACAAACACATTTTACATATAATGGTAATAGACACAAAATATATATCAAATACATTTTACCATTGATTTATTTATATAAAATATAATATTTGTAAAAAATTTATGGTAAAATTATGTATTTTAAAAATTGCGCTGTTTTCTCAAAATTTGGTGCCAACTTCAGGTAATAAATGAACTGTCAACCATCAACTGTCAAACTAGTGAAAATTTCAAGCATGGCCGGTAATCTCGGAACAAACGTCTGTAACCCGAGTTTAGTTAGAGCCCCTGCCGCCGGTCGCGCTTGTTTTTTTTCACTTTGAAATAGAATTTGACATATGACAGATACTTAAATTAAACATGGCGTCCATTGTAATAAATTTTTCATGGAGAGATAACCTAGACAATATAATAAATGCTTGTTAGAGCAAAAAACAAATAAGCTGTCGAAGTGCATTGTTTAACGATGAAGAAATACCAAGAAAAATGCATGTATTATGTAGTTCCAGCGAGAAACGACGAAGTAAAAGTAAAATAAGTAATAATATTTGCCGGCTTTCAATCTAAGTGAGTACTTTTATTAATATGCATACTTCGAATTACTTTCATTTGATTGTACTATTCTGATATGATTTTTCATTACAGTTTAATAATTCAGAAATAATTGAGACATTTAACTATATCAATACTAGAAATTTTAAGGTTATAAATAGACAGAGAGAATTCCTGTCAGCTCTCTGAAAGGTATGTTATTAAATAACTAAATATAAATTAATCTTGTTCTAATAATGTAGGATCATAACTAATAATTCTACATCGATTTTTTCAGCAGTATAAAAGGAAAATACGTTCAAATGTAAAATGTTTAGACGGTTTACTAAACACATTCACAAGTGTACAAGTATTGATATGAGATGAATGAATACACAGGAAAAAACAATAAGAATGAAGTCTGAATGTGCTGAAATCTTTGCTGATCTCCCACTAATATTGAACAGTACGACTCGTAATTATATATTAAGTCAGTTTGGAGAACATACTAAAAACACTAATGATATAATCGTAAGTGAAAGGAAATTCTCAATTAATGGTGAAATTCTAGCTAGTGCAAAGGTTAATTTAGGTTTGGCTATGTCACAGGAAAAGTTTTTAAGTATTAATAATTTCATTTTGATATTACAAGAAATATTATTATCTGTGTTGTTTAATGATGATAAAGGGAATCACATTGTATAGATTTTCAGGAACTGTCAAATGACAGGCAAAGTATAATCATGATTAATGATAAAATTCTAAAAAGCAAAGGGATAAAACACCCTTAATGTGCACTTGCTTATTGCATTTGACTATTCTGAAAGAGATGTCAATAGCTTTACTCTAAAATGTCTTATTGTAGATGCTATAAGAAAACTATTAAGTACTGTTATAATAATATCAATGATTGTTGTTTTTCTTTAAGACAATGATAATAATGACATTTTGAACAAACATTTGAATGCACATTAACAATAGCGCAGAAAAGATTCCCAAATAGAGACTGTACATCATAGATATTATGTAACTTAATGTTAATCAAAATAAATATATATGTAAATATATATATATATATATATATATATATATATATATTGGTTATATATTGATCTGAATCAATATCAATCAAAGAATTGTGGTTATATATGTATATGTATATATATAAATAATATATACATTCATGTACATTTCTATTCTTTTTGTGCTCAGCTTGAAAGGCTGATATGCTAAAATGATATTACACACACACATATATATATATATATATATATATATATGTATATATATATATATATATATATATATTTGTATATATATATATATACATTGTGGATAGCGTGTACATTTAAGTACATTTTTATGCTTTTCGCACATAGTTTTTACAGCTTACTACCATCTATTATAATCATATATAATGTTATATATATATATATATATATATATATATACACATTGTGGATAATGTGTATATTTATGTACATTATTATGCTATGTGTGCATTGTTTATAAAGAGAACTATGTAGATATAATGTAGAATGTTTTTGTGAAAAATAAATGCTTCAAAAATTTTTTTTTTTTCAATTTTTCTTTTTTTAAATTTTGAATTAAAACGGTCCATATAATTTTGGTTCATTTCTATAGTATTTTTTATACGCACCCGTTCAGGCGACTAGTGCCATCTGTAGCGCGGGGCTTCAACTAACACAGGAATGTGGCAACGAAATATGGCCCGAGAGAGCGATCTATATACTCTTCTTTTATCTATGATTTCAAGTACAGTAGGCCCTCGCTTTACACGGCACTCTGGGTACACGGTTCCCATACTACACGGAGCTAAAAATCCGACATCCCTCCGACTACACGGACTTCTTATTACACGGTATTTGGTCAACAGCCCATAAGTTCGTTGTGCAAAAGGGTATTGTTGTAAATTTTGTTATCGACTTTTATCTTTTAGACATGCCTGATTGTATAATAGCCGCCTAAGAACACGTTTGAGCTGATTACTGCGTCGCGCCAATTTTTGAATAAGGTGTCAATTTCGTCACGTCATTTACGTCATTTCGTCCGTATTTCTCCTACTTCAAGTTGTATTTCTTGGTCTCCATACAACGCGATAAAAATGGTGCGATTTGTACCAACTCTGAGTCTCTCATAACACGGTTCCCATACTGCACTATGTAAGGTTCCATAGAACGCACTACGAATTAGCCTGAATTGTATGTTAAATACGAGTTTCTTATAGCACGGTTCCTATACTGCACGGTACGCATTTGCCGCGTAAAGCGAGGGTTTACTGTATATAAATATAAATTAAAAACGAATAATTATTTTGTATATTTTATTAATAAATTTAATAGGTCAAAATATATACAAGTTACATGCAAGTTCAGATTTATTTATATAAAACATAATAATTATTTACACTAAAATCTTCAAATCCTTTTCGATCCATTCTTTTACGATTGAAGCTTACTTTACTCAAATTTATAATCAATTCATATTATATTTCAAGAAAATGCAAAATAAATAAGTTATCATTAAATAAATTATTATTATAAATATATTATAATTATAAATATAAATTATATTTATAAATAAATTAGCACTGATTTATATACATAAAACATAATAATAATTCACCCTTAAATCCTTTTCGATTTATACCTTCATGGTTAGAATTTATTTCACTTTGACTCAATAATAATATACAGTTGAAACATTGTTTTTAAAAACAATTTTGATCCTTTTGTGCAAATTTGTTTATTTAAAATTCACGCTATGGTTTTGTGGCTAACTTCAGTTCTTAACTGTCAACTGTCAAATGTCAAATCATTAAAAATGTCGAACTTTGTTACAACATAAAAATGGAAAAATATATATTTAAAATAACTTAAAAACAAACAATTATCTTGAAGTAAAACAATTTTATAATAAAAGTTCATTACTCATACTATAAGTTCAAATAAATGTGTTCACTTGTTCTATATAATTATAAACAAATAAAAGCCACTAAAAGTTATGATTTTGTTTGTTAATTAAAAATTATAATTAAAACAAAATGGATGCTGTTGAGGAACAACAATTAGTAGAAGACGATTCTGAGGTGCATTTAGATGAAGGAAATACTCCGATAATTACTCAAAGTACACCTGAAGATGTGCCAAAACCACAATCTCCGATGCCAAGGGTAATAATAATTTTATTTTATTCTATGTGCAAATTGTTTACACACTTTAGTAACTTTCAACTCCAATAATTTTACAAATAACTTTTGCTTAATAATAACAATATATAAACTGCTCTCAAATGGTTACTCTTCTACTAGCCATTGCATTTAAACTACTTTAATTTTTGTTTTATCTTTAGCCGTTGTTTTCAAGTGGAGAAACCAGCCAATGCTCAACATCAAGATCGGGTGCAAGAAATGTTGATAGTTATTCCCATATCCGACCTTGTGATAGATTGATGTTTATAAACGAGAGAAAACATGCAAAAGATGGTTATAAGCCTTCTATGCACAAAAATCAGCAAAAAGGTAATATATCGATTGTAATATAAACTTTATTTAATTCTTGATAGATATCGTGTGCTTGGGAGATAATATTTTATGCAGATACTTATGTGATGTTTTTCTGTTTTATATTTATTATAAGTATTAAATATATTTTGGTTTAACTATATTGTTAACTATAATTATATGATTTAAATAATGATTATAAAAAATTATACAATGATTTTAATATATTTTTTAAACTGTTATCAAACTATTTAAAAATTACATTTTAGTATTGATTTTTTTATATGATTTCAATTAATCTTATCAATATCAATAATTCCATTTAATTTATAAAATATAATCTTCAATGCCACTTTGTTTTTAAAGTTAAAGCTATTTTACTCAAATTTTTCTTACAAAACACATTACTAGTTTTAAGTTCCAATTTAATTCTATTTAGTTTCCCAAGTTATTTTTATTACATTTTTTTGAATTATAAGTTTCCTATGTTTATTAAATTTTATTTTGTTTGTTTTCTTTTATTTTTGTTTGCATTATTGTGTGGGTGAGCAGATAGATTTAGCAGTTTTGAAAATCGAGCAATTAGACACCATTGTTTCATGTCAGACGCCCCGGATGTACGAAATTTAGAAAGCGCTTTGTTGGGACTTCTGGAAGATTTTCATTCAGGAAAACTTCGAGCATTTGGTAAGTAATAGGTAATAATAATTAATACACTTTGACATAGTTATTTGTGATATTAGACTTGAGACTATTTTATTATATAGGAAAAGGCTGTAGTATGGAACAAATGACAGACATTAGGGAACAACAAGAGAAACTGGCAAGGCTACATTTCGATCTTGGAACTGATACGGATTTGTTGGGAGCGAATGGTGATGCCATGCAACAGTTGCTTTCGCATCTTGAACAGCTATCGGTTTCAATTGAGAAGTTACATTCGAGTAATGATGAAAAAGAGTAGTATTATTGTTGTTTTTATATGTTATATTTTAAATTAAACACTATGTGATAAATGTTTTATATGTGTTGTTAAGAAATAAATGTATTTAAATTATATGAGTGATTGTTGATTATAAAATAATGGTTTAGATTTTTTACTTTATATAAAAACCATTAGAAAAAGTTTAAAAAATGACTTGTGTTTAGGGGGCACTTAGTAATGTACAAACTTATCAATTCATTAATTTGCTTTTATTTCAAAACTTTCAAATTGTTTGTATCTGCTACACATATATAAATCCGTTACTATTTAATTGATATAAATGCAATAAGAAACAGTATTTGTGAAATTCATGGATATTCAATGAATATTTTAGATGATAAACACAATTCACATAGAAATAACAAGTATAGGAAAAGCATAATACAAATTTATAAATCTATTTTTTTTAAATTTGTAATTAAGTGAATATTTTGGATGCTTTATTATCTATTATTATATTAGATATTTTGTATGCTTTATTATCTATTTATTATTAATTAACTTTCCGTAGGGAAAGTTATTGTAATGGGTCGAAAATCGGAATTGAAAATTTTTACATATCTCGACGTTTTGAAGGTTTCTGAACATTTTGGCATACTTCAGAAAAAATGGATGTGTGTGTGTGTTTTGTATGTCCGCATTTTTTCGTCCACGTTTTCGGGCGCACTGATCAACCGATTTGAATAGTTTAGAAAACATTCGATTCCCATCGATAGGGAGATGTGCTGATTAGTTTTTGGCAAAGGCAGGTCCAGCCGTTACGGAGATATGGAGCAAAAAGTGCAGAAAATAGAAAGCGAGTTTTTGAGAGAACGGATCAACCGATTTGAATGGTTTAAAAAACATTCGATTCCTATTGCTAGGGAGATGTGCTGATTAGTTTTTGGCAAAGGTATGCTCAGCGGTTCCGGAGATACAGAGCTAAATGTTGAAAAATTGGCAGTTTTTGAGAGAACTAAGGGTCCGATTTAAATGATTCAAAGAACTTTCTGCTTGTTTCAACAAAATAATTGATTTTGGAAAAAAAATTTTTGTTTCTAATTTTTTTTTCAAAAATTTTTTTTTGTAATTTTGAATTAAAAATTCAAAAAATTACCCAGGCTAAGCACAGTCTAAGCGCCACTCTGGTACAAATGTTAATGCAAGTGCGTTTAGACTGTTTATGTACTGGAGCACTTTTTCAATTTTGTGAAAAACCATTGAAAAATGTGAAAATGCCGCCAAGCTAAGCACAGTATAAGTGAAAATGTCGCACAGAATTATTTGCAAATGCGTTTAGACTGTGACTATGCAGGAGCACTTTTTCAACTTTGTGTAAATTAGGCAACTATTTTTTTTAAATTGAATTCGAAATGAAATGACGATTGTTAATGTTTTGGGGATAAATTGATTGATTTATGATTGACATTTGATTTGCTCAGATATAACAATAAGATAGCACAAATAATTAAAGTTACACAGTATTTGTAATAATATATTTGAAAACGTTTAAAATTCCTCGAATATTTCATTACGATATGGAAAGTTCCAGCAATTTGCCTTAAGGCACGATGCCATACACCACTAGTCAATATTTATTTTAGTTCTGCATTAGACCTAACATATCAGCAAGATATAAATGTAAATATCTAACTAAAACTAAACTAAATATCTAATAATGTATTTTCTGTTTTGCTTTTAAATAATTTTAAATTTTAAATTATTTTTTTTTAAATTACCCGCCAACTTAAACCCAAACGCCATCTGCACCAACTTCAAGCCAAACCTGTTGCTATCGTTTACCCATCGTTTACCATCGTCGCCATTCGTTAATCACAATTACAAACATCCTTTCGAAACCATCATCTATCTCTTTCCCCCTACAGCATTTCAAAGCAGGTTAGAAAGAGACGCATTCCAAGAATTTCAACATAAACAAAAAAGCATGCTCGCTCTTGCACACGACTTGAATATTGTTTAAAACATTCGTTTGTAAATGTCGTGCAAGAAGACAGTGAACAGTTTTGTAGTTTCAGTGTTATTTTATTGTGTATAAACCGACATATTTGTGTTTAACTATAAGCATTAGTTTAGATTTAAGTGTTGATTGTTAAATTGGAACAAAAAAAGTGTTGAAATATGCAGTGATTGGATTGGATTTTTTTTTCGTATCGGTTGACAATAAGGTAAGTCGAAATTTTGGATTTTGTTGTTTATTGATGGCTTATGTAATTTTAAAATGTGTTTTATACTTGTGTACATATTGATAATACTGATAAAAGTTTTATCTTTGTGATCGTTCAATTATAATTAAATTTTGAACCAACAATGTTGATGCAACAGGCTTTTGTAAAATTGAGAGTAAACTTCACATTATTAAGCAAATTAAATTAATTATAAAACATATATTTTTTATATTGTTCAATATTGATATATAATACATTTTTAAATATTAGCAATATGATTATATTGTATTTTCATATTGTCCGGGAATATTACAAATCATTTTACTTTTTTTTGACATTTTGTATAGAACTGTCATTTTGATAGCTGTCAAAGTGACATTTTCCAAAATTCAAAATTTGACAGATGAGTTTGAATATTATTAATTATTTCTTATTTTTCTTTTTAATTATAAATAAATAAACAGGGTTTATGAATATTATTTTAAGCTCTTATCTAACTTATTTAAAAAAGTACCTAAAGTAAATTTATTTTATAGTAAACATAAAAATTTGAAAATATTATTTGTTTTATTTCAAAATTATTAATGTTCTATTTATATTCTTTGAACACATTAAAAGTTATTAACAATATCATTAAAAATACATTTAGGACTGAATTTTCATAATTTCAAAACATTCTATGAATTAATATATTTTTTGTTATGCAAAATTTGACCATATTTTACTAGATGTGACAAATTTTTCAAAAAATCAAAATTTGAGGATCAAACTGAGTTATTATTCATTTAATTATATAAAAAGAAATTGCAAAAAATACACTGATGAATTGAATTTTTTATATTTCAAAATATTCTAACTAATATATTTTTTTGTTATGAGTTTGTCCATGTTTTACTAGACTATTTTTCAAAAAATCAAAATTTTTAAAATACTCTTTTAATTAATATATTTTTAAAGACAGCAATGCAAAATTTGTCCATGTTTATTTTCAAAAAATCTAAATTTTCAAAATACTCTTTTAATTAATATATTTTTAAAAACAGTAATGCAAAATTTGTCCATGTTTTACTAGACTATTTTTCAAAAAATCTAAATTTTCAAAATATTCTTATAATTAATATATTTTTAAAAACAGTAATGCAAAATTTGTCTATATTTGACTAAACTATTTTTCAAAAAATCAAAATTTTAGGATCAAAAAAATTATTAAATTAATTAATTGACTGATTTTTTTATATTTTAAAATATTCTTCTAAGTAATATATTTTTGAAACCAATTATGCAAAATTTATTCAAATTTTACTATATAAACAAATTGTATAAATATTATTTCTCGTCAAACTTATTTATAAAATTAAGCTTTATTTGAAGTAAAATTATTTTATACTACATATATTTAATAGCTGAAAATACACAAATTTAAACTCATAATATTTAATAAATTAAATACATTTTAAACTAATAAATATATTTATAATAGATTGACAAAATAATATATAGTTGAAAAAAAATCAATTTATCCAACTATTTAAAAGATAAATTTATTTATTTATTCATAAACAGTATGTTATATTACATATTTAATTGTTGATAATACACAAATTGTGAAATTGGTAATATTTATTAAATGAAATAAAATTTGAATATTTACAATTAATTAAGAAAACAATGTATAGTTGGATGAAAGATAATTTTTTTTTATTTATTTATAAACCATATTTTATATTAAATTTAATTGTTGAAAATACACAAATTTAAATATAAAATTTGTTATGTAATTTGATTTGTAAAAAATAACTGAAGCAAAATTAATTTATCGTATATTTAATAGCTAAAAATGCACAAAAAACATAACATTTGTTACATGTGAAAATTGATAATATTTATAATAAAAATTAAATATTTATGATAAATTAACAAATCTAATGCCTAGTTGTGTAAAAGATCAATTTATTTATTTATTCATCAAAAAACAATTATTAAGCACAACTTCGTTTCAAGCTCATTTGTAAAAATTAACTGAAGTAAATTTATTTTATACTATTTTTATTTAATAGCTAAAAGTAAAAGCACATAAAATTGAATAGAACATTTGTTATTTAATTTTATACAACTTTTCCAAAAAATTTCATATATTTTCCATGATCAGCTTGATAGTTATTAACAATATATCTAATAAATGCACAATAAACTGATTTGTTGTAAACTAATTATATAATTTTTATGAAAATCTGTATTCTATTAAAATTAAACATTTTAAGTATCTATATATATCTTATATAATATTAAATTAAAGACAGATTTTTGAAAAATTATCTTCTGCTCTTAGAAATATTTAAAATATAGATGTTATTTTACTTTAAAATATATGTGGATTAATTCCAAAACTCATTATCTATATTCCAAATTATCACTTGATATTAATTCTACTCTTGTTATTAAACTTTCTGATTTCACTCGATGAATTAAAATAAATAATTCCAATCCCATAAATAAAGTTCCTACTACTACATCGTTTTATTTTAATATTTGCATGTAAATTTTATGAAAATTTCTCCACTTGATTGGATTCTATCAATTAGTTAAGCAAATTGAAGAAGGAATCCATGAGAAATTAATTATAATGTGTAGCAAGTCGTAGATAAATTTCATTTAATAGAAACAAGTTGGAATTGAATATTCAGTGGTGAATAAATAAAGTAAAAGGGCTGGATTAGGGATATTTATACACAGAGGATTGAAATTGATAAAAACAGATGTAAAGGATTCACAATTCTTTTCTTTAGGCAAAATAATAGTAGGTTTCTTAGCATCAACAGATTTATTTAAGTTAATACTATGTTCAGAAAACATGGTCTTGTATTGATTAGGATTTTTGGAATTACATACATTTTCATGCAGATTTTATGAAAATTTCTCAACTTGATTGGATTCTATCAATTAGTTAAGCAAATTGAAGCAAGTCGTAGATAAATTTTATTTAATAGAAGCAAGTTGAAATTGAATATTCAATGGTAATTAAATCTACTGGAATAAATAAAGTGAAAGGGCTGGATTAGGGATATTTATATACAGAGGATTTCAAATGATAAAAACAAATGTAAAGGATTCACAACTCTTTTCTTTATGCAAAACTATAGTATGTTTCTTAGACCTTAAAGAATTATTTAAGTTAATACTATGTTCAGAAAACATGGTCTTGTATTGATTAGGATTTTTGGAATTACATACATTTTCATGCAGATTTTATGAAAATTTCTTCACTTGATTGGATTCTATAAATTAGTTTCAAATTATGAAAACAAATCTGAAGGGTCAGAATCCTTTTCTTTAGGCAAAATAATTGAAGGTTTGTTAATCTTAAAAGAATTATTTATGCTAATACTATGTTTGCTACTTAAAATAAAACAAAAAAAAATTCTCAGATTGTTTGTATTTTGTTAAAATGTTGCAAATTATTACAAAATGTTGAAAATTAGATTAAAATGTTGCAAATTGTCTCAAAATGTTGCTAATTGGATTAAAATGCTGCAAATTGGATTAAAATGTTGCAAATGGTCTCAAAATGTTGCTAATTGGATTAGAATGTTGCAAATTGGATTAAAATGTTGCTGATTGGATTAAAATGTTGCAAATGGTCTCAAAATGTTACTAATTGGATTAAAATGTTGCAAATTGGATTAAAATGTTGCAAGTGGTCTCAAAATGCTGCAAATTGGATTAAAATGTTGCAAATTGGATTAAAATGTTTGCAAATGGTCTGAAAATGTTGCTAATTGGATTAAAATGTTGCAAATGGTCTCAAAATGTAGCTAATTGGATTAAAATGCTGCAAATTGGATTAAAATGTTGTAAATGGTCTCAAAATGTTGCTAATTGGATTAAAATGTTGCAAATTGGATTAAAATGTTGCAAATGGTCTCAAAATGTTGCTTATTGGATTAAAATGTTGCAAATTGGATTAAAATGTTTACAAATGGTCTCAAAATGTTGCTTATTGGATTAAAATGTTGCAAATTGTCTCAAAATGTTATAGATTGTCCAAAATTGTTGTAAATTAGCTCGGAATATTGTAAATTGTCTGAAAATGTTATAGATTGTCCCAAATTGTTGTAAATTAGCTCAGAATAATGTAAATTATCTCAAAATGTCGCAAATTGTCTCAAAATGTTGCTAATTATCTCAAAAAAGTAGCTTGTGTATAGGCACTCTAAAATTATTGTTGAAAATACATATACAAATACAAATATTATTTATAACTTCTAAAATAGTAGTCATAGTTAAAATTTGTCATACTTAATAATATAACAAAAACACTTTCATGGTTTAAAATATTAATAATTATTTTAATGCCTTTTGTAAAGAAAACTAATGCATAAAAAATTCCATAATAAATCAAAATATCATTGCATAGTATTATAATTACTATTAATTATTCCTTATACAATTTGCGTTTATTAGAAATTATAAACGGTAGAAAATATTGTGTGTCTATTACAATTTTCGATTATATAAATATATAATTAATGAAAATAATAAAAGCGATTTCTAAATTAAATCTAGCATAAGAAAACACGACTGTCGAAGAATAATTATAAGGAGCTAACACGCGCGTTAATTAAATTATGTAATGTTTTGTACAAATTAGCAAATATTATATTTTTAACACATTTATTTGCATAATAGATATATTAGATAACGGTAATAATAGAACAAGAACATTTTTAGAATGCAGACATATAATAATGTTGTTTTCAAAAAAAAAGTTCCTGAACAAAAAATGATTTTTGTTGGTGCACCAAATGTTCCTTCTTTATTATTGAATCTGAAAATATTTGATTTTATTTGGTTGTCCTTATTCCTAATCCGAGAATACATAAAAATATTTATATTTTATATAACAAACATTGTCATTTGTTTTACAAAATTAACACGTTTTTAATGAATCAGTCAGGTTGAGAGTTTTACAATTAACATACAAAGCAAGGTCGACTAAAAAC